CGTCGCACTGGGTGTTACCTGGTGTGCTAGCTGGATGAGGACTTGAAGGAGCAATTGAGCGCCGTTCGTCATTCTGCTCTACCACTTGCTCTTTGACGTTGGACTTGAGCCGAGCGGATGGAACTGCAACATGGACACGCACTAAAACATCACATTTCTGGGTTGTGCGCGTTGGCCGTTCTTGCGTGTCAGTTGCCGTTTTTGTTCATTGTGCCATTCTTATTCTTGTTGATGTTGCGCGGAGGACAGGCCGGTGTTCTGTTCCAGTTCCTGATACCTCCCCTTTCGTTGCTTGTGTTGTTGTTGTTATAATCTCCGTTGTGTCTGGGGGACTCCTGATTGTGATGCCTTCGCCCGCATTATTTTGTTCTGTTTCAGCCGAGGACGGCTGGGATTTTCTCTACGGGGGAGGGTAGTGTAATGCGGGCGTAAATGGGCGGGGCGGATATGACGATCCGAGAGGGAGGAGTCAGGGTGACGTGGGGGAGAAGTTATAGCGGGGAGACAGGAAGCTATCTGGGTCAGTCGGGGGAGTGAAGGGTGGTGAACACGTTGGGTGGTCGCCGTGCCTCAGCCTGGTGGCTGAGGGGCTCATGACGGCGCCAGCCAGCGGGGTGGAAGAGAGAGTGGAGGATTGAGGTAGGAAGTGGCGAGATAGCCACAGAGGCCACGAAGGGCTGAGGTAGGAAATGGCGAGATAGCCACAGAGGCCACGAAGGGCTGAGGTAGGAAATGGCGAGATAGCCATAGAGGCCACGAAGGGCTGACATTGGGAGGTGGCGAGATCGCCACGCACGGAGGAACAGGGAGCAGAGATGGAGCTGCTGGGGGAGCAGCCAGAGGGCTGTACCAAGAGCCTGCAGCGGAGCTGCAGGAGCGTGGAAGGCTACGGGAGCGAAGGCAGATGTGGGGCTGCCAGGGAGAGAGTCTCAGGAGGAGTGCCGTGTGGGAAGGAGAACGCGAACCCCAAATAAAGGACACGGAGTCAGCAAGAAGTGTCTGAGTCCTTTTATTACATATATTCTCGTGTCTTATAGTTCTCTCCACTTGATACAGTAATTTTGCTGTGACGGTCCCACTTGAAGACGGAAGCTTGTGTTGCCTCCGAAACGTCGTGATTTAATTTATTTTAATTTTATTTTTTACCTACGTGACTTGACCGAAAAAATCAAAGAGTAAAGTTAAAAACGAGCTCGTTGCACGCCACAGTGGCCCAGACGCCGTGATTCATGATAGCTTCGGGCCACTCTCCGATAGGAAACAAAAAAAGGACAGAAGAAAAACATTTAATTCGTATCGTCGTTACAAATGTAATGTTTTTCAAAGCGTAAAACAATGAATAGTACCTAGCTTTCTCACTCCCTGTCTCCCCCCACGACAGAGCGAGAGAGAGATTTGATGAAATTGGAAAAATTAATTGCCACAATTCAATTTAGGAATCAATGTATATTTTTTTCTCGTTCCTAATTGCGTTTGTTGTGGTTTTTTGTTCCTTCTACTTGCCCAAGGGTCCATTCGCATGCAATCGGCTAACATCGTCCATCCCGTGACGTGCAACTCTGAGGAAACGCACCGCGAGCGCACGCAATCCATTTCAGTCTGCGAGTGAACAAATAATGCTTGCCCGTTAATTTATTTGCCGTGTGACGAATGAAGATCTTTTTGGCGGGAGGCCGAAGGAAGTTGTAAATGTGTCGAAACCCTCCACCACCCGACAGAGCCAATTAGTAAGGGATTTGTCACGTAAACCAAACGCCAAATAGTTACTGCTATTTGCAAATCGGGCGATTTGCAAATCGCCTGATGTAATTACCAGCGAAAAGTCGTACTCAAATTGTAAATGTTGGGGATTTACTCTCCAACACACTGGTGGGTTGAAGTAGTAACTGTTTGGCGTTTTGTTTACGTGACAAATCCCTTACTAATTGGCTGTGTCAGGTGGTGGAGGGTTTCAATACATGTATACTTACGCGATCCAACCCAAAAACTTTTATTATGAATAATATTGGTCGCAAAAGCCTACGTGATTCAACCAATGGAAGCTGCTGGTCGTTACTTGTTGTTTTGTCCATGACATATCTCCAACGAAAATTCTGGCCGCAAAGATTGCATCATAACCTCAGCTTTGGGCCATGAAATCTAATAATGCAAACGTAAATGAGAATGGCAAAGGGGGGGGGGGGGTGAGTTAAGTATGTATAAATGTGTGGCTTGCAACGGAATCAGTGCCCAGGAAAATAAAACCTCAGACCAATTGGCTAATTCCTCATGTCTGGAGTGGTGGTGCAAGGTGGAAATTGTTTATATGTATGTATGTTGAACTTCTTTTGCACCATACATCGCCAACTGTGCCAATCAGTGGTGCTGAGGAAGGAGAACAAACTAAACACAAAAAGCAGTTCTCAAGAAACGAGTTTTCAATCCAGATTTGTAGGTGCTATGCAGAAGGGCCTTGGCCTGAAACGTGAACTATTATATATTTTTATTTTTAAGGTCACACAGTGTTATTGACAAATGTTTTATTTTTTTACATTGATCTTATGAACCGCTGCCAACGTAGCAGCATCGCTAAATAATTTACTTTCACGATAACTCTCTGGAAATTCCTCCCGTGGAATTTTAGCAATGTGTGTTTGTTACTTTAGTCAAGTGGCAACGTGGCGCAGTTTGGTATGAAAACCAGTGACTTCCGAGATTTATTCCCGGCCATGGCTAATGCTAGATTTGAAGCTTTCGTGACTGCAAGGATTCATACTCTTAGGTTTTTTCGGTAATCGTGCTGTGACGGTTCCACCTGAAGACAGAAGCTTGTGTTGCCTCCGAAATGTCGTGATTTATAATTTTATTTTATTTCTATTATTACTTTTATTAATTTAGATTTTATTTTTTGCCTACGTGACTTTACCGAAAAAACCTAAGAGTATGGCTAATGCTGTTGATGAACGATATCCCTTGTCATCCATCATTGGATTGAGCTTGGCTGTTGATCATGATGATAATGAGTATTCTATAATCTCTGATTTTCAATGAAGGGTGAGGTTATAGGCTCCTGAAGGTTGTTTGGATTCAGAACTTTCAGTACACAACAAGAGACCTTGTCAGCATAAAAAATATAATTAGGTTACCGAATGAGAAGAGCTATTGTAATGTTATCGTTACAAAATGACGGACCACATTGTTGCTTAATTTGCAATCCCTGGTCTACATAGAGTTAATATAAGATCATTTTAAAACCTGCCATATATGCTTAAATAGGCCAGTTTGTTCCGAAGAGTCATGTTGAAGGTATTGCGCTGACGTTAGGGTCGGTATTTCACACGGTATTCTAACAGTTCATGTTTACTCAGCCTGTTAATGTTGCTGATGAGCTTTCACTCAACAGTTGCATGTAAATAAAGGAATCGATTTATTGATGGAGTGATTGATGATCCAGAGTGCTGAGCTGACCCGCTTTGAGCTGTACGATTCTCTCCGATCGGGGCTATTTTCGTCCGTTTCATCTGTTATCTATTAAAGCCAGCTCTGACAGCTTGTATTTGTATCCCTGCTGGCAGATCGGTATTGCTCTGCACCCCTAAATCATTTCCCTGCAAGGGTTAATACTTTCGACGAACGTGGTGATCGTTTTCCGAGCGTTTGCATGCCCGCGTCAGGCGGCCCACTGGCTCGTTTGGACCAAGCGCCCATGACTAAAGAACCCTCGCGGATAATGGAACGCCGTTGCCTTAATGCTCAAAGTCACAGATGTTGCGACAGCTTGTGAGGCCAAGGTGCCACCCACGCGTGCAGCGTTAGAGGGCGAACGTCGTCACTTTTTCAAGTTCTGTCCGGGTTTATTTTAATACCATGGATTGTGGCCCAGGTTTGTTTAAACGAATTCGTTGCATCCGCAGAGCACAATTGTGGCCATGTGGCTGAGAGGTCAGAGGTCAGAGCACTGAGCTGGCACCGCTGACATCCTGGGATCAAATCCAGGCAGTGGTCTGTGATTAAATTAGATGTTTCGGTGAAGATAGGTGATGGTCTCAGCCAAAGAAAAACTCCGTCTCGCAAGAAAAACTTGGTTCTGCACTTAATCGGCTATATTCCAGGTTTGACTCCTGCACTGTTATTTGTGGGCTATATATCACTTGAAGGGATCCCAGAGGTAGCTCTGTGAGATCAGCTTCTGCGGGCCGTTATACGACACAAGAGGTCGGAATGAACTCGCCGTCTCACGGCATGACGGTGAGAGCACAGTCGGAATAAAGTTGTTAGAGAAATGTTGAAAAACACCCCAAAGAAACGATAGATCCCATTGTTGTCAATCCTGAGAAACCTGACCTCCGATGCCCTTCCATCGTGTTTACAGCCACGAGTCGTGACCACTTTTGCTGCTCATTACAGCCACGTGATTGGCTCCTTGGAACAACCCCGTAGTGGTTGCACCTGTGGGATCAGCCAATCACACGCTCTTTGTTATTATTTAGTGTTGTTACATTGCCGCTTTAAGCCCTGGATGTGCCAGTCGATTATTATCATTAACAAAATCGTTGTTCTTATTGCTATGCAAAAAGAAAAAATACTCAATTACACTGTGGATGAACAGTGAACTGTGACCGGCCTAAACCATCACGTGAACTCCGGTCATCCTCGCAGCGGCTTTTGGCTCGCCATCGATCAAAGACAGTCACTGCATTGCGCATTTTCAGATGCGCTTCTGCGGCCATCTCGAATGCTCTTCCTTCTGATATTAGGAAGCCACTGGAGCTATGCACTTTTAAATCATCTAAATTGAATACCCAATTCTTTAGAACTGCTTTGTGTGTTTAGTTTGTTGTCCTTCCCCGCATCTCCGATTTGCACGGTTGACTACGTACGGCGTAAAAGAAGTTCAACATGCATACATACATATGTGGGTGTTTATTAATTGAAGCCTATTTGCCAGTTTTAACAATTACTGCTTTGTTGGTATATTTCACTATGTCGCTGGTAAAACGTCCGTTTGCCGCCCAATCCAGGGGGCCCTGCGGACAAGGTTGGCCTGCAGCCCCTGGACACCATCCTGCTACTCAACGACATGGACGTCAGGCCCTGCAAGTGCGTGGAGCTTGCCAATGCCATCAGGTGAGTGGCAGCTTCCCCGTCGCTTAGCAATTAATTGGCAGTGTTGTGCCGCCGCGACCTTGCCTATCGCTGGGGTTACGTTCAGTAAAATCCGCAATACGGTTGCTGAACGGATACATTGTAAGTTCGCACTCATTGCACACAAAGTGCTTGCCACAAATGAACCAGACAATACCTCACTGATCTCGGCAAGGAGCGTACACCATCGCGCAAACTCCGGTCGCCCTCACAGCGGCTTATGGCTTGCCATCGAACAAAGACGGTCACCGCATCGCGTGGCGCTTTCAGATGTGCTTCTGCGGCCGTCTGGAATGCTCTTCCTTCAGATATTGAGGAAGCCACTGGATCTGTGCACTTTTTTACACCTCGATTAAAAACTAATTTCTTTCGAACTGCTATAGGTGTTTAGTTTGTTGTCCTTCCCCCGCACCTCCGATCAGCACGGTTGGCTACGTACGGTGTGAAAGAAGTTCAGCATATATAAGGTTTTGATTCATGGTTTGTAATAGGACACCCTCTCATTTTGTTTACCCTATATTAACTCAAAAGTGAAGCAGGAATAATTTTTTAAGTTAAATATGATTAATATTTTCTATAGTATTCAATGTGACTTGTACAGTAAATATATAGAATAAAAAAAACATATACATGGTGTACAGTGTACAGTGGTTTGTATACGTGAAAGTAAACCTGAAAATAAAGATAAGGTGAATGAGATATCTATAGTAAATTTCATGCAGTAAAAAAAAAAATACCCTGACTATATTATGAATGAGGATGATGGTGTCTGTATCCTTCTGCGGCAGCATCATCGCAAGCAGTGTAGTTGGATTACAGTACTTGTTTATGATGTATATAGGAATCTCGCAGTAAACTGCAGATGATAGAGCCACAGGGACGCTATGGACGAACTGTACCTACGTTAATTTGCGCGCGAATGGGAAAACCTGCGATGGGCAAAGTTCTTCGTGAACTATATCAAGATTATAATTTAAAAAAAGCTGACCCCCTCTGGCATAAATACGGGTGTTAAGATGTTCCCGAAAAATGGTCCCATGAATATAACTACTTCACCCGAGCTATTCATGCTTTTTCTCGTTTGCATTGTCCTTGTACTGCTTGCCTATGGGCAGCCATTTGGTATACAGCACTGACGAGGCAAAGCAATGAAGGAGACTGCCCTCTTGTGTAGGCCAATCAAGTTACAAGGACAATTGCACACGCTATCACAGCATGTTTCGCTTGCATGTTTTACCGCAAGCGTGCGTGGTTAATGCAGTCTTGATGCCTTGTAATAGGTCTTTGGGCATCTTAACACCACATGTACTTATGCCAGATGGGGTTAAGCCTTTTTTATATATATAAGAACAGACTGATGAAACAACGGCTTTCTCCCTTGGGTTCGCAACGAAGGTGGTGGGCCGGTCAAGGGCAGGAAGGACGGGTGGGAGAGCATTCTTTACTTCTATCTTTATCTATTTCTCTGTGTCTATCAGTCTCTCCTCTGCGTCTGTCTTTCTACGTCTGCACATTTTCCGCGACCCCTCTTTCATCGCTGGCGCTCCCCCATCCCCGCTCCCCACACAGCTTCGCCACTTTGGGCAGGCAGCGGTCGATGCTCAGCGCTTAGGTCAGACCTCGCTAGGGCCCTGGTGCGGAGGGAGAGGCCGGTTTTCATAAAGCAACGTTGGCGTGGGTTCCATGGCGCCGTTCGCCGTTGTCGCCTCTCGCTTCTCGAGAGAAACGGCTGGAATTGTATTAATTTTGCAAACCTGCCATCGACGCCGCAGTTGGCAGATGCGGCAATTGCAAGAAAATTTTAATATAAAGTGGGTGCTTCGTTCCCCACCCAGGTTAAGAGTTGACGCGTGTCGCCTGTTCAAGAGAGCATCGGGGCTGGCACTCAACTTCAATGGCATTTCTGGCTTCAGTATGACTCACGCCGTGCTACGGGAAGTCAACTGTGGCTACCGTATTGAGATACTAACACCCCCACCCACCCACCCACTGTAGAAATGTGGAATTTCCATCGCGGGCGCAGTACCACAAAGAAGGTTGAGCTCCACCCAATTCTTAATTGTGAATGAGGACACACACCTTGATTGTGTGTATATTTATATCGTACTTGTATGTAGTGCTGGGTGATTGTGAAGCCATCTCGTCGTATTAGTGTCCAATTTTTTTTATTAATGTATATTTATATATTCTGTTTACAATATAACTTAATATTATGAGATGATGATAATGAATGCAAATGTTCAGTACGTTCTACGAAGATGCATCTCGTATGTTGGGGCTTGTTTTAATCCCAACAAATATTGTGGTTTTGCAAGCAACAAGGTGGCACAAAAACTGTCGATTTTACAAAGTTTTGGATGAAGTCTTTGTTGACACACTGAGCGCAGATTGCCAATACCCTGGCCTCGAGTCCCCCAGACTCGGCACAGCTTGATTGTTTTCTTCTTTTGCCAAAAAGGAGATGAAACAACACCACGCCAAGAAATGAAAAATAAATAAAATGGAAAATGATAAAAAAAAACTGCGCCGGGAAAAGTTACCGGAACTAAATTGTTACGAAACATTGGGCAGCATTTTTTTCCCGGTAAACTCCAAAATGAAGGGCACCGAGTTGAAGTGTAAGAGGCATTAAAGCGTGACTGTAACAACACACTCCTAAGTGAGCTGCCCTGAGATTTAAGGACATTTAAAAGTCCCACCATGCAAATCAAGGCGGGACATTACAGTCACCCCCTCTGTATGAAGTCGTGGTGCATAGTGTACAGTATACAACTAACATATAATGTTACTAAAATCAAACAAAGGTGGCCAGGTGTGTGGTCAGATAATTATCTGAACCGGTCCTGGTGCGGTGTGTAAACATCGTCACTGGGGAGACAAAGGCGGCCGGGCGTGGTATTGGCCACCCACCCCCTCGTGTGCCGTGCCGGCCTTCATAGGTGCTCGCTAACAACACTTGCCCCAACAGCATGTCAAGGCTATACGGGGGACCTTTATCTTTGTGTCATGGTACGTCCCTCTCTGTTATCCACACAATCACACTGCCATTCAGTCTCCCCTTGAATGCTTCTGTTTCCCATCTCAGACGTACAATGAAGGTTACGTGGATTGTGGCTGTTTCTGACGGCTCAGACACCTTGCACACAGCTACCGTCTGTTTGTCTCACTCTACTCCGTATATCTTAGCAGCTGACATATGTAATTGATGTAAATGTTGCAGTCTGTATGGCCATAAGCATTGCACCCAAATCACACTATGTATGGCTTGTGCATTCACTTTATTGATTCTAATCAATAATTATCTTATCTTAAAAGGAATTTAGATAGCGCCTTAACCAAGGCGCTTTACAAATAATTTACAACGGTAGAACAACAACGACGACGCGTGAACGTGACGGTGGAGATGGGGGGAATGAAATAGATGGGAGGAAGCAATGGGGGTAAATCTGTGATGATGCGTGAATTCGGTCAAAGTGAACTTGATGGCAGTAAATAATAACAATTGTACAAACCAGATTCGAAGCTTTCGTGACTGCAGGAATGACTCTTTGGTTCTTTCGGTAAAGTCACGTAGAAATAAATAAAATAATAATAGAATACGACATTTCGATTCCAACACCCCCCCCCCTCTCTCTATTTAAGGCCTCGACACGGAGACGTTGTCTTTCTGTGTGCCTATGTGTCTCTCTCTCTCTGTTTGTCTCTGTGTGAGTCTCTCTCTGCTTGTGTGTCTGTCTGTGTGTCTATGTTGTGTGTCTCTCTCTGTGTGTCTATGTTGTGTGTCTATCTCTGCTTGTGTGTCTGTCTGTGTGTCTATGTTGTGTGTCTCTCTCCATTTGTCTCTGTGTGAGTCTCTCTCTGCTTGTGTGCCTGTCTGTGTGTCTCCGTGTCTATGTTTTGTCTCTCTCTCAAATTTAGCAAACTTTGGAAGAACGTAATCAACAAGGTGGTGTGTTGACTGTTTTGTTGGCCAACTCTCTGTCTTGTATTGCATTGTATTTCCAAGTTTACTGGGCTTGTTTTCTAATGCATTTGTACGTGATGATGGTTGTTTGTGTTGCAATCGAAACGTAGTATTCTATTATCATTTAACTTAATTTCTTTCTACGTGACTTTACCGAAAGAACCAAAGAGTAATAACAATTGTCATTTATAAAGCGCCCTTAAATCATCGTTCTCGGGGCGCTATACTGATGCTGAATGGATTGAATGAATGGGGAATGAGTGATAGCCATAGAATGCGAATTTGAAGAGGGAACAGCAACTGTGGTGGTGGAGTGGGTGATTAAAGGCTCGTGGGGTGAGCAGGTTATGCCTACAATTTACAGGGTGACATTCAATGTGGGAGGGGAAAAAAACACAATTGAATTTGACCCTCGTAGCTCGAGAGAAAAGAACATCTGAATTCTTGTCAGTGGAATGTCCAGTCTCCCTAAAGTTTACGACAAGAAGCTGCCTTGCTATGGATGTTTCTCTCAGCGTAATGGGTGGCATCTAAACACAGAGGTCTCTTGAGGCGCACAGGCACTGATTTCTTCATCTGAAACCTTGTATGGTCATTTGCTGCAACTAAAGTAAGTTCACCCACGTACTCGTATACACGTACAAAGACAAAGATCCCCCGTATAGCCCGAACAGCCTTTTGGGGAAAGTGCTGTTAGCGAGTAGCACCTACGAAGGCCGGCTCGGGGTGGGTGGCCAGCACCACGCCTGACCGCCTTTGTCTCCCCAGTGGCGATGTTTACACATCGTACCAGGATCCCATTTGAGGCCGAGTCGATCTAGGGGAAGCCCAGAACCGGCTCAGACAATCGTCACTGGTGTTGGCCATGAGCGGGAATCGAATTCAAGTCGCCGGGTTCGTAGTGCAGCACGCTAAGTGCTACACTACCGCTCCCCAATACACGTACACACACATATATATGCACACACACACACAAATGCTGTTCGCGGGCACCTATGAAGGCCGGCATGGCAAACCATGAGGTGGTGTGGCCAGCACCACACCCTGCCGCCTTTAACTCCCCAGTGCCAATTATTACATACCACACCAGGTTAACCGAGGAAGAGGCCCATAACCTTCTTGGTTCTTTCGGTAAAGTCGCGTAGAAGGGAAATAATAAAAGAATAAAAATAAAACATAATAAAATTTGATTTTATTATGTTTTATTTGTAATTGTATTATTATGTTTTTTTATTATTTTATTATTTCCCTTCTACGTGACTTTACCGAAAGAACCAAGAAGATGAATCCCTGCAGTCACGAAATCTTTAAATCGAAATTTAGGCCCATAACCGGTTAAGATAGTTGCCGCTGGTGTTGGCCGTGAGTGGGAATCGAACGCAGATCGCCGGGTTCACGGCACAGCGCAACAACCGTCACCCTAGCTCTCTCCACACAAGCCCGCGCACATATATTTTAAACGCAAAATATTAATTGCAAAGTTCGTTGCAGACACCATGCGATGCATTTTGAATGCCGACATTAAGAAAGGAAATTGTTCCTGTCAGTATGTAAGTCATTGGGAATTCCACCTCTGAGCTAAGCCGAAGTTGCAAAGGCCAAGCAAAAATGAAAGACACTCATTCCTGCGTGATAGGCCTGGCTTTGATGAAGTCAACCCTTGAGCAGCATGCTGTGGGAATGTTTTGTTATGCCCGTCCAGTTTCCGGCATTCTCCCCGATCTAATTATAAACATCGCGTGCTGAAAAACGCGTCGTTGTTTTCACAGCTGAGGCGAGCGCTCCTCTAAAAAGAAGCTCCCAAAGTCCCCGGCTCGGGCTGCATCAGTATGTGCTTCATCCCAGCCGGGTGGGACGTTGATCCAGTCAAGTTTTCTGATAATTTTACTGTCGCAGTCGCCGTCCCCCTTTTGAAGTCCGTTTGGTCACGGTTTGAGCTGCCAGAGTCTTCGACTGGCGGGTCTTTGAAAGGCGGAAATGGAGCAGCAGAACAGGTCTGTTACGTCTGTTGGTTTTTCTTTAATTCTATCCGCGAGCGTCACATCTTAGTCGTCTGCATGCGAGTACATGTCCGTGCCTGCGTGGCTTCTCTTTGTATGCGTTTGACGAAGACTTTCTCTAAATCGGGGGTAGGAGGGGAGTGCCAGTCGTCGTCAAGATTATTTTACCGGTGTGGAAACAGTGTTGGTATGATGTCAGCCTGGTTGTTAGCGTTTGCCACGGGATGTGTGTGAGGACTTTGCTAGGTGCTGTATACTGTCTCGTTGAACCGTGCCTTCCCCATGTCACTCCACCTCGAGGAGCAGAGCGTTGCGCAGTTGCCAACATCCTTCGCCAAGCTTGAATACGCGGGCCGGTGTTGGCGAATGGGTTAGAGGGCAGCTCTCACAACTGAAGGGTTGAGAGTTCAAATCCTGGTCCGGCATCGAATAGGTCAATGGCGTTGATAAAAACGAGCACCTTTTTGGTCGAGCAAAGGCGTCAACAGAAAAAGTGTGCACAGAGCGATGAAGAGGATCATGCTCTGAATTGCACTCGGGAAGAGCAGGAGGAAGAGATGGTACTCTTAGGTTTTTTCGGTAAAGTCACGTTAGGTAAAAATAAATAATAAAAATTAATAATTAAACAGTGGAGGTAATATTCTATTATTTTTATTATTTGTTTTTACCAACGTGACAGCAGAACAGAGTATGAATCCTTGCAGTCATGAAAGCTTCAAATCTAGAATTAAAGGAAGAGATGGCTTAGAGAATGTGCTACGCAAGCTCAAGACATCGCATTGACTCTTCAGGGAAGTAAGTCGGTTTGGGTCGGACACGTCGCTAGGAGTGATGGTGACCAAGCAGCAGCCAAATAGGGAAGACACCTGTGAGGATGTTGTCTGCGGAGATGGAGCAATTAAAGTGCAAGATGAGTTGTTGCACCACAGGACTACGAGGGGTGCCATGGTGGCAAGATGTTAACGACCTCGTCTGGTATACAGGATGTCGTGGGTTCGATCCCGTCCCTGACGCCTGCTGCTGTATATTTAGAGTTTGCATTTCTCTCTCCCCATGGTCACGTGGATTTTTCTCCGGGTCCTCTGGTTTTTCCCTCCACATTTAGAAACATGCGTCGAGAGCGCTTGGTTTGCCTGTAAATGTCCTCGTGACAAGCCACTTCCGTTGAGCTCTGTTTGTGGTCATGGTCGCTTCTGCAAAATAGCTATACAGCTCAGTGGGCCTTACCTGGTAAAATAAAAAGTTTAGTTTTTATTTTACATTCACGGTGGCTTGGCGAGGCCTTCATTCAGCAGTGGATATATCACGTGGCTGATGGTGATGATGAATGATGGAGTCAACTTTGCTTGGTTTATGCATTGCCTGAACCTCACCCATCGGGCGTGGAATTCTCATTACTGGCTCTGAGGCTGTAGGCAAGGCGGTAAGCACCAACTGACACCACTGGCTCGTTTGCATAACGACGATGACGATCTCAACGACGAATATTCGTCTCAGAATTGAGAGAAGATAGCAATAGGCTTTACCCTTTCTGGGAATAAAAACAGGAGGTGGTAAGATCTTCAAGCACAAAATAGATGTGAAACATTCAAACATGTTTTTTCTACAAGTATGAGCGGTGAATGCAGACATGATGCCTTGCAATAAATATCTCTTTTGCATTTGAACATCTTAACACCGTATTCTTGGTTCTTTCGGTAGAGTCATGTAGAAGGGAAATGATGACATTATTTCCCTTTTACGTGACTTTACCGAAAGAACCAAGAATATGAATCCCTGCAGTCACGAAAGCTTAAAATCGAAATCTTAACACCGGTATTAGGATCATTTTGATACTGGAAAAAAGGTCCTACAATATATTTGAGAGAGCAAAAATCCGAGCTGCACTCATGCAACTAACTGTCTCTAAATATTTTGATGATGGCTTATAAAATCGGTCTAACTTATTTATGTATCTGCTCATTTACACGCGGCGTTCATCTATAATAGAGGGGGCTGCCATTAGTATTGAGGTTGTTATGGTAACCCGAAAAGAGCGTGCACTTTACAGGGTCGAGACGGTGCTTTTTCTGAATTATAAATGTGCTTCAAGTGTCGACTGAGCAAATCGTGGCATTGTTTGGCCCTTTTCTTCTTTTTCATAACCCGCCAATGCAACCGTAAGCACGCAGGCCACACTTCACTCTGGCCTCTCAAACTCTGGGAACACGAACTGTGACCCTTCATGCGGCTCGCAGCACAGGGATGGTGTGTTTTAAAGCCCTTGACTATTTAGATAGATAGATATTCACACGGGCGTCCCTTGCATAACGCATTACAACTCGTTCCTGAAAAAAAACGTGCTTGTCGGATCACTCTGTATGAAGCTAATTTCCCCAAACATAGTTAAAAGCGTGGGAGGGTTACCAAAGAAAAATTAAGTGAATCATTTCACCTCATTATTTTACCCCTCCATTTAGAAAATATATATAAATGTAACACTTAATAATAATAGTATTAACATGACAAAAAACACGTAATAAGGAGCTTAATGATAATTATTAACGTTCCAAAGATTGCTACTTACAAAGATAACTTAACCAGGAGTAACTTATTATTTCCCATTATGAAAAGTATACGTACACAGCGGGCGAACATTTCACGCAACCGTGCCCTCTACGCGGCAGCGCTACAACGCTCTCCGCCGCTCGCGCACCGCTGACTTGGCGGCACCCTGCGCTGGACCGTAGCCACTGGCTGTGGCACTCTGGCCCATCAGGTGCCCTGAGCAGAAATAGTTTTTTTGGAGCGCCCCCCCCCCAGCCGCCCCCTCCCCCTTCAATGAATAAACTCTGAAGTGAGATGAAAGAGGCAATACAAAGAAGAGATGCAGATGCAGTGAGATGACGGAAATGTGGACAAACGATCGCGGCGGCGTCAAATGAGCGATTGCGAGATGAGAGAGATATAAACAAGAGATGGAGTTGTTAGACACGAGAGAGATGAATGTGCTTGTTCAATGGCTTTTCATGTTTATTAGGATCTGAATTCGAGCTGATAGGTGGCACATCCCTATTTATTAATTCATTCAGAATCATAATCTTTCTTTATCCTGGAGAAATCCGATGAGCTGTGAAGTTATTTTTCCATAGATGTCCAGTAAGGGGCGGGGCGGGTCAGAAAGTTACCACAACAAACAACGCAACAAACGATCAGAGTGCAGCGTATGGGAAAGGAAAGCAAATCACAAAAACAAACACGCACAATACAGAAAGCATATAAGTTAAAATTGGGCGCCCTAAGCTTTCGCTCGGTTCACTCGTGCCCAGCGCCACCGATGGAACGCCGCGTCTCTCCGTGCCGCTTGCAGGAACTGCCCCGCGACGATCACGCTCACGGTGCAGCGTCTCACGCCGGGGACGTCCTCCGACGGCTCTCCTCCTCCTCCTCCTCCGTCCGCTGAGAAAGCCCGCGACGCGCGGCCACCGCCGCGCCTCTCCGCCGGCGGGCCGGGCTCCGTCGTCGCTCCCTGCCGCTCGCTCTCCTTCTCGGCCACCGTCCCCGGCAGCCACTGCGCCCGACGATTTAGCAGCCCCACGTCGGTGGGGCGAGCCTCCAGTGTCCGGCCAGAGGCGCGGCTTCGTTGCGCCGCCACCGCCGCCAGCGCTGCCAGCGTTGTCGCCACCACCACCGACGCCATGTTGCCCAGAACAGCAGCAGCAGCAGCAGCCGGAGGAGGGGAGGGCTGTGCGGTGCTGCCGACACATCGACGGAGGACATCCCATCCTCACCGACCTCAACCGCAATCAGATCATAGGCCCCGTGCATGTGGCTGAGCACGAACAGGTTGTTACAGTCGCATAACCTTTCTAGTTCTTGGGTCGCGGGAGGTGGCGGTGGCGACGGTGGCTTGAGGAGGCCTTCATCCGGCAGTGGACTGACCATGGCTGTTGATGTTGAGGATGTGTTTTTGGGTTGTGTCGACCGCGCCGGGAGCTTCTTAAAGAACTGAACTGAATTAATTTCCTGGACAAACGCGTATCACAACCCGGAAACACATCAAGGGGCTGTACAGCACAAATCCTAACCTACGTGGAAGGAGTTTATCCCTTTCTCATGCAACTCGTGTGTATGAGAACGGCGGCTTGTGGCATCTCAAGGCTGTGTGGGATGGCATCGACTTGACGATGCCCTTATCCAGCAGTGGATAGATCATGGTTGACGACGATGACAATGGTGATTCATCCAGTTCTGGCAGCGTTGAAAGATTAACTGCAGGCTTGGCTTAGGCTATCATCCTTAAACAGTCGATAAATTGAGAACCGCTTTGTGCAATGTTAACAGTCGTAATCATACCATGATAATGTAGAATTTCAATCAATTGTTCAGAACCATAAATTGAAATGAAACAGTGCTCCGTTCATCATTTGAGCAGGGGAATCATTTTGATTTCACTTCAAATTTATTTTACCCAGGAAAGCCTTGCTGAGTCACACAATTCTCTTTTCATGAGGGTCCTGCATTGGAATATTTGGTCCAGATCTCAGTCACTATCATCGCGTGCACAATTTTATAATCGCTGTGAAACGCCTTTGATTGAGGCACTACATAAACCTCCATGATATAAGATGAGAGCTATCTAACCACAAATGCGCATGTGAAGTTCTGAGCATAGGTGAGTCCATGACCCACTTGCTATACTGCCATCACGTGGCTACCTCAAAGCCCTGCGAGTTGGGAGTTTGGGAGGTTTGGAGACCGGGTTGGTACACTCCACAAATGTCACCTCTGCCGGATGACAAACGTGAGTCACCGCATGCTACTTTGCACTTCGTGGCGCCATGGGGAGAAGCGTCAATTTTCACTTTACTTCAGCCCCATTTCCAGACTTTTCCCGGAGAAGAGATGATCCGCTAATGGGTAGCTGGAGCGTGATGGCAGCAGGAGGCAGATTGGACAGCAACACCGACCTTTCACGCCGAGACCTAGAAAAAGTCCGTTTTGTTGTTTTTCTCGCAATCACCGACATCAGAATCATTTCAACATTTTTGAAAAAAAAGAGGTCTGTAAAGGGACGAACATTGTAAGCATCGTCGTCCAAGCACGCTGGAACTAGGGTTGGCGGAGACAGCAGCCTGAAATCAGAAGTTTTTTGAGAGCTCAGTCCTCAGTCGAGGGTCAACTTAGCCCTTCGTCCTTCCTGGCTTGATGAGATGATTCCCACTTTGGGGAAATTCAACGGTGATTCGCCTCTGCTCTGAGGATATTGATTTCCCCACCACTGGATATGAACAACACTGCAACACGCTCGTTTGCCATCTTTTAAAATGCTGGAGTTCTCAGATTGTTGGTGGCAGTGCCGTCATGCACAGTGCACAAAGGATAATTTAATACTCGTGTAGATAATAATTCACGGACTTTTTCATTCCACTGCTGGATGAATGCCTTTACCCCATAGTGTGTCTGTCGTGGAGGTTGTTTAACCGTGCTTCACCACACTGGTCAGTGTAGGCTAGTCAAGTGATAGGGCTCAAGATCTGCGGTAGACATCACTTGCCACCGCTGTTCGTCATGGCCAGGAATCAAACTCAGGTGGCCAGGTCCGTAGAGCGGTGCCCTAACCTCTGTGACACCGTTCCCTGCAGTCTAGTGCACGATGATTAATCGAACGTTATTCATTCATGGCAAGTGAAGCGAATGAATTGGCATGGCATTAGCATCTCAGTAATTCAAGCACCACTCCAGGCAACTTTGACTTTGATTCGCAGGGTTCAGGGTTTTTAATGAAATTGTAATTAAGCCCAATTGCAGGCACAATCGACTAATGCGTGAATACATTAGCTTTGATAGTCGGAGATTTCGTAAATACGAAAGTAAAGTTCCCGTGAGTATAATGTTACATATACCTTCTTAGAAAACCATTTATTATTCTGTCATACACAGGTGAGAAATGAATAATGTAAAACACGTAAAAAGATTAATAGCTTCATACGTATGTATTAAGTGTAACGATGCAATTAATAATCGATGAAGATGAATTCGTAATGTCCACGACACGTGATTCAATTCATGCTTTTAAGAATAAATGGCTTTAAATTTGTCTTTGTTATATTTAATTGGTTAAGGTATTCCTTGCAACCACTAGTGGCCACTAGATACACTACATTGCCCAAAAAAAATATGCTTAACCCTGAATCGTGACAGTTCATCTCATCACGGGGGTAGAGGGCTGAATCATTCCACTTTGAGAGCATATTTCTACACAAGGTCACCGCAGATTCAAAGTTGACACCGTTTAGCCGGCGGCGACTGAATGAACGCTTCATATTTTTTACACATTACTGTTCAAACAATGGGGGCTCCATATACTAATATTTGAAATGTGAGCATATGGTAGCTGGTTTGACTCAGAGGTCAATGCCAAGTCCGCACCTCCAAGGTCTTGATATTAAATCGAGGTTTCAGCCACCTGTGATTAATCCAGGCTGCCAAGTATAGCGAGTCACCATTGACTGGATGGAAGAGCCGTCACAGTAAATCAGTGTTTTCACTTCATTTGGCTGCATTTCTGCTCGTGAATTGAAATATATAGACATGAGTATCAGTTTGTCACGTGCCAAATAATCTAATGGCTCAATGCAGCATCAAATAAATCGAGTACCTGATGAGTAAACAAACGTGGCCATGTGTGAGGGGTGATCGACAACAAAAGGCTCCCACGTGTGTAATGTCGTGTTTTTCAACAGGTGCTCGCAAACCCCATTTGCCCGAAAGTCCGTACGACCAATCTTACGACGTTAATCCTCCCCTACGTATGTGCGCACATTGCAATGCTTCGGCGTGTGTTTACGCCCATGAATTGTCTGAAAGCACCTTCATATATAGAGAACTGCAGAGCTTGGGAGGTGGGGGCGGTGGTGAGGGGTTTCATGCCGGCTCACCAGATGGCTGCCTCTGGTGCGCTTCCTCCCCATGCCCCCCCTGAGTCGTTCTTTGATGGCGAGCGAACGCTTCGGCACGCTGCAAGTTGATGTTTGCGAGCGACGTTGCGTGTTGAAGACCCTGGCACGAGTGGCCGTCCAGGAAAGTGGAAAGACGAGAAAGGGGGGGGGGAAGACCCCCCCCACCACCACCGACCACCCTTGTGTGCAATTGTAGTGTAGTAGCAAATATTTGACAGCCAGCGTCTCGGCGGCTGACACGGAGACCCTGTCGCTCATGCCTGTGGGTGTTGTCAAAGACGATGGCACCAGGAGTGACTCTGTTGTGTTTCGGTGTCTTGCAGCTGCTCCGATGCACGGGCAGAGCAAGCGGCAGTGCACGCGGTAAGTGTCTGCTCGGTGAAACATTCTCATGGTTTAAGATGAGAAATGGTGGCGTCGTAACTGTTGTTGTCTCGTGCAGATGCTTAATAATGATCAGCTTGGGCAGTTTATTCCTTTATGCATTGCCATAACTGTGGATGTTTGATCAGAACACCGTCATTCTACATCGTAATCTAATTTGAATAATTGGCTGCAGTGGTTAGTGCACCGCGCTATGAACCTGGCGACATGGATTTTATTCAGCTAATCTAAGTGGTGAGTGATCCAACTAACATCAATATGTTTAATATGACTAGTCCAGAATAAGCTTGACCTGCGTTCATCAGACATGCGATTCGTGTCCAGTACATGATGCACATTGCTGTTGTTTTCCACCAGACAAGGAACCCATTGTTGGAATAATCAGTAAACTAAACATATCTCATGTCTCACCTTTACTAACCTGCACTGACCAGCATGGTGAAGTATGGTTCAACAACATCCCCTCCCTGACACACACGGCATAGGGAGCCATTCAACACTCAGTTAATTAACAAAGGAGTGTCATTACAATTTTTTAAGACAAGCATGAGTAACAATTGCTGCTTTAAGAAATATAGTATTACGATATGCAATTTTTTTTGCTTTTTACGCTTGTGAACCTTCGAAGTAACTGCGAACAGTGAGAATTTGTAGTCCTCACTGAATGATCGGTGTGTTGGGTATGGTGAGGGAAAGTGTGGGCACTCACACCTTTACCAGGGCATCTGGCCGTTTGTCACTCATTTCGGGTAGGGGTACGGGTAGCGTACGGGTACCCGTACCTGGCTGGGTACGGTTACCCGGTTTGCGGACCCTGGTGCGGCCGGGTACGGGTAAGGAATCAAAACTGGTTTGCGACCTCTGGGGGAGACTAAAAATACCTTACAGAAGAGCTCCTGAAGTGGAGGTCTCTATAGGGTGCCACGGTGGCTAGGAGATGTTAACTACCTCGCCTAGTATACAAGAGGTCGTGGTTTTGTTTTTTTCGGTAAAGTCACGTAGGTAAAAAATTAAGCGGTTGTGCTTTCGCTAAGTTGTCCCCACCTGAAGAAGGACGCTTGTGTTGCGCCCGAAACGTCGTGATTTAATTTATTAAAAATTTGTACCTATGTGACTTTACCGAAAAAAACAAAGAGTATGAATCCTTGCAGTCACGAAAACTTCAAATCTAGAAGGAGGTCGTGGGTTCGATCCCGATCCTGACGCCTGTATATTTGGGGTTTGCTTGTTCTCCCTACTGTCGCGTGGATTTTTCTCCGGGTCCTCTGTTTTTTCCCTCCACATTTTGAGACACGCGTTTATATAGTATTTGGCTGCTATAAATGTCCACGTGATAAGCCACTTTGTTGAGTTATCATTTGTGGCCAGGTCGTTTCTGAAAAAGAGCTATACAGCTCGGTGGGCCTTACCTGGTAAAATAAAAATAGTTTAGTTTTAGTTAATAGTTTATGCAGGCAGTGGTGTGAGCAAAGCAATTACAGAGCTGCACCCTTACCTTTTTCAATTGTCCGTGTGGTTCCTGCACACTTTGGCACGCATTTTTTATGATGTTCTATGAGCAAACCGAGTGCTCCTGTGCTCAGTGTGAGTTGAAATCCAAGTGCGGAGTCAACTCTGCTCTTCATCGGCGTCATGATACATTTGAGGAGGCCTTACCGATAGCAGTCGCATGAGCGGCAATTGCACGGTTGCGCCTTTACCCCGTACCACCATTTTGCTAAACGATTCCAATGGAAAGACCAAATGAAGAAGTACAACGTAGTGCAAATTAGGTTAGTGGAACACACGTGCTATTTTCCATATGGGCCAAAAGAACGCGTTGGCCCAAGTAAAAAATAATTTCCACCGAAATATTTTCATACACCAATCCTAATCAGCTTTTTCAATTTCTAGAAATTATTCCTTTAGTTGTTTGAGTTGGTAGTTGAGCATAGGTTTGTTAAATTAAGATGAAATTTGGGTAAATATGCCAGATAACAAGCCGCTTTTTCCAAGGGAGGCGTACTCATTCTGATTCCTGTAGTAAAATGTGCCTACATTAAACCTGCACCTTCCATAATTGCAATGTTGTACAATAAATATTACTCACGTGAAATATTAGCTGAAGTTCAAAGCGCAACCCTGCAATTACGTTCTCATGCCACTGCTGGTAGAAGGGCCTCCTACAAGCCCCTCTCGACGACATTTGGCCTACTCTTCCACGCAGGCCAGATGTCTTTGGAAGAGGTGGGAGTTATTCACACTTTTCCCCACCACCTCACGAGCTGTGTTGCACTCCATTTGTTGTAAGAAATGCGCACCGTTGTTTCAGCTGCCGCACCGGAAGATCGAATAGAACTGGCGGCTTCTAGATTGCAACACTGCCACTGCGCTAAATGTTGCACCGGGGCAGCATCGCGTAAAATATTAATGCAATCGAGATTCTATTTTAGGTCAAATTGGTAAATGTGGAAACACTTGTAACAAAAAAATATATACGCAATTATTTTTAGCGGAAAGAAACCACGATGTTAATGACATTTCCGATAAGGAACGCAGTTTTCATGAATACACGTTTATCACACTTCACTATTGAAGGAGACGCAACACAATAGCATGCCTTTCTTTCATGCCGCACATAGAGAACTGCACTCTTGAACAGGAAGCATCTGTGCATGACGTCAGGTCATTGCTGCCGAGATATAAATGTCACAAGTGCCGCTTGCTGCCACAGGGCTGGCGGTCTTATTGTGTGTCTGCCTATCGAGCACATTTAGCTGACACCAGCCCGACAGTTTTTCTTTTTAAATCCTTTATATTAAGTTCACTTGCTTGCTTGCTTGCGCGCTTACGACCGTGCAAATCTTTCGGTCGTTTTTTAACCCACTTCCCGTGATCCAATCGAGCTGACGTTTTTCACACAGACTCGTTGTGCGTGACAATTTATTTTCGTGAAATTTTTTTTCCATAACTTTACACTTTTTAGGAATTTTTTTTATATTTAATTACCAATTGCTTAATGGTGACAGGCAATCATCTGACCCATAGGTGGCAGCCATCTCAAGCCAGAGGACGAGAGGACTCTAGCCGCCACGCATATAAAGGATTTATAGTGAAAAACTTTGTTTTTACGGGTTAATTTTTTTAGCAAATCAGCCCACACACGCACACAGGCCACGCTCATAACTGTTCGTAGTGGTGACGCAAGCTTCTTGCTTTTGAGGAATCCATACAATTCAGCAAGCATGACGGAACTGAGCACAGGTAAGCTCGATGATGGCGATGGTGACGACAGCAGATTATATCCCGCTGGGCATACAGGCATGTCTGTGGGTTAAATGTCCATAATGCAGTTTTATTGGGTTGGATCGCCTAAATATATAAATGTGTCATTAAACCCGCCACCACCCGACACGGCCAACTAGTAAGGTTTGTCACGTAAACGGAACATGCCAATTCGTCACTAGTACAGCACACCGGTGTGTTGTAATGTTTTGTTGAAGTGACAAATCTTACTAATTGGCTGTGTCGGGTGGTGGTGGGTTTAATGACACATTAATATTTTTGCGATCTAACCCAAAAAAACTGTATTATGGATGATATTGGTCGCGAAAGCCGACGTGTTGAGCTGGGTTAAATGTCTTTAAACCAGGACCATTATTAGTACTTCTTGGCAAAGTGGTGTCACTCTAAGCTGCGTTAAATTGTGTTGTCTGCGAGTTGGTGAATTGCTGGTACACCGCCTTCATATGTACATATCAAATACATTGTGAAGTTAATAGTCAATAGTTTGGTTATTCCAGCGCCAAAATTAAATAAATATTACTGTGCTGGTGACACTCCGCCCTGTAAAATGTCCAGCTTGATGAATAGACGTGGTTCTTTAACGTGTGGACCTCTTTTGTGGCAATTCCTGCGCATGGCACTATGTTCAAGAGCTGAATGTCAATTTCGAGGTCTGCTGGCCACGACATGGCTTCAGGAGAGTGTTCGTGTCGGTTTGCTATTCCTCCTTTGAGGGAATGCAGACTACAGTGGTTTACTATATTGTGCACCGTTTGGATTGTATGACCACACGTGCACCACTGTGGAATCTCTTTAATTTCCCATTCATGGAGGATATGTGCGCAGCAGGCCTCTGGATGGTCTGAAGCAGGCTGATGGTTAGACCACCGGTGGTGTCCTTGAGGAGGAATATCAAAGCCAAGAGGTGTGATGTTTGAATCTCGAATTAGGTGTTCATTCTGGACGTCCGCATTGTTCCACTCGGTATTGCCAGCGTTCTGTGGGTGAGATTGTAAGCACCTACGCTGAATGTGTGTGTGTGTGTTGCAGGCATCGCACCTCAAAGTTTGGGGAATGACCTGCAGAAGCCCATCGTCTTCCCACTCTCTGTACAGGTAGAGAACAATTTCACGCATTTTCAAACATTCCCGAGAGAACGAGGTGAGTCTCTTTTACAAGCAACCCAGGTCACCAAAGTGACGAAAGCAAAACTACCAAATCGAGTTACAGCAATGAAGCAAATAGATTTCGGAGAATTCCTTGGCTTCTGTCATGCTGCATGAGGTCGAGCGGTGGGTGGCACAGCGGTTTGTGCACACACTGTGCAATAGGAAGCTGACGACCTGAGTTTGATTCCCAACTACGGCTGACAATTGGTTGCGATTGTCAGCTGAAGCGGTCCTGGTCCACACCCTTCTCCGACCCCCCCCCACTCAACTGACCAGCGTGGTGAATTACGTTGGTGCAAAACAAACAAAAAAAAACATGACCTGCAAAGGGGTGGGGATACTTTCATCCAGCAGTGGATTGACGAACAGGCTCCACATGTAAAAAATACTGCTGCATATGAGGGTTGATCGGAAAGTCTGTGGCCTGACACGGGAAGTAATGAATGACCTTGGTTGAGCTGTACATTTTTCTTATTCGGCCCCATTAAATCCAATGCATGCGGTTCCTTGAAAATCCAAAGCGTTAATTCTTACCCAGAATGACTCTCTGTCTAGCTCCTCAAACTACCCGTACAACACACTGAAAGGCAGCCAATCTCATCGGACATTGAGAAGCCAAGCCGGTTTAAGCCTGGTTCTTACTTAGATAAGTTGACATTGGGGTTTCTCCAGCATCATAGGTTTGTGAATGCGAGGTGTGGCCAGGGGATGGCAGTGCTGAATGTCACCCCGAGTGTAGTGTATAGTGTAGTGTATAGTATAGTGTATAGTAGTGTATGCGAAAGAGGCCGCTTTTCGCCGATAAGACATCAGTGTGCGAGGGCCGCCACACATTTGAAACCTTTGGGTCTGACAGCACGATGGGGTGTGTCAGGGGCTGCACTAAAGGGCACCAGGGGTTGTTTGTGGCCTGTGGGCCTTGCAGTGAAGAACACTGTCCTAGTCTGTGTGGGTTTTTGTCCGGGTTCTCTGGTTTCCTCCCAACAAGGCGAAGCCTCATTAAATGTATTGGTCAAACATTCCGAGACTGAACCCTCATTAAAATACCCTTGAGACCCGGTGAGACTCTCTTCTTCGTAAACAATTGACATTGGCATGCTTGACACTAGAAATTTGCTCTCCCCCACGTGATTTTGTAACTGTGACAGCGTGTGGAAGGAACTGGGAGACGAGGTGTGGTTAGAGCTAGTCTCCCCCAGCTTTTTGTGAATGTCTCTTTTATTTTTTCAATTCTCGGTTATGACACGCAAAAAAGACATCTGAAATACATTTATCAAGGCTGTCTTTTGCTATCAGATTTGGTATTTCTTATTTTGTCAGACTTTACTTTTTAAGTGAACAGTCGTCGCTTCTTGAATCATCACTCTTTTTATGTGGCCCACAGTCTTCAGTCACAGTATGTGAGGTGCTTCAACTTATTAATATTTATTCTACTAATGCTTTCATGATCACTGGACTGGCAATCCAGAGGTCGTCGGTTCGGTTCGGTTCGGTTCGATCTCCCGGCACGGCAGTCTAAACAATGGGAGCAAGTTTCTTAATACACCAACCTTAGACCACCAAAGAGTATACAGGGGTACGGCATAGTTACTCGATTGGAAAGTCACATGTTGTTAGGAAAAGTGTGGGTGGATACTCCCAAATCGTTCAAGATGTCTGACCAGCATAGATCTGCTAATGGCCTGCCTATCTACGAACCTGTAATGCAGACGGGAAACTAAAATTAACATTAACGCTCATATCAGTACTTGTCAATAACACGATTTTGGAGTTAAACAAATTCCCTTAAAACGATCCTTTGGAACTATTTTTTTTTAATCAAACATTAAAAAGCGTTAATGCATTAGATACGTCTGTGTGTGTTGGTTCCTCTGTCCGTCTGCCTGTACCATGAGATCACGATAACGCTCGTGAATTTGATCCAGTGCAAATGTAATGTTTGTGTAAAGTTGTGATACTGTCAGAGGAAACCAGGGCAAATTCATCAGAGGGTTAACGAAAGCTTGCCGATAAATTCCGGGCGACAACTGGCTCGCCTTAATTCCGGCCAACGCGATGGACGTTACGCGCCATGCGCGCGCCCGTGATGATGTCGCTCGAAGCGTGCCGCCACTTTCGTGCGTGTGATTTTTCTTCTTTCTCTTTGTTTCGTTTGGTGACGTGTAAGCCGATAGCCCTGCACGAGCAAGCGCGGACGCTCTGCTTCTCGGATGACGTGCTTTGGAGACAGTCGTCAAAGGATGTACAAAAGGTGAGGACAGGAAATGAAATGACAATCACATTGACATGAAAGCATCCACTTTCCGTAAATATTTTTTGTAGCTTGAAAATATCACGTGTTTTTGGAGGTCGTGTGAAAATGTCAGTCGTCACATAGTTGGGTTTCAAATTGAAGATAATTATCAATGCCATTTCGTGGATTGATGAGCGGCAGAATGTGGCGTATGACTTCAAACTACAGGTAGTCCTCTACTTACGATGGAGATGCGTTACGACGACCCCATCGTAAGTCAAAAATATCGTAAGTCGAAGATGGCCTAGCCTACCCAGGAGTCTTAAAGAATGGTGATAATTTAGCAAAACAGAGCAATTTACAGTACCGTACTGTATAAACTATATACTGTATGTATTTATTAATTACAATACTGTATTGCACGGTGAAATGTAAAGTAAAATAACAAGGTAAATTCTTAGCTTACCTATATGAACTGCAATTTAATAGAAAGTTTTTTTCAGGAAACAATCCTATCTGCTATGAAAACTTTTAACATGCATTGTACGCTGCTGCGTTTGACTGCCGCGCAAATTTGTTGTTATTTTTTTATTTTTGTCATCGCCATCGTAAGGTCGAAAGTCGGACCGTCGTAACTCGGGGACTATCTGTATATTTTAAGATTTCACTGTGTGCCATGACGTCAATGACATGCATACATACACGCATCAAATGTCTCTTACTTATTGCCCCACTTACCTGCACCATCTAATATCCAAAGCCCCAATAAATCTGCAAAAAATCCCATCGTCTGTTTTTTTCACGGATAACCAGTGACCCACGAGTGGCAGGAAATGTATCAATTTCATCACGTGTATCTGTCAATAATGGCTCCAACAACAACAGCTATTTATTGTGTGGAAATGCACTGATAATATAATAAGATCGGCCAATAGCAGCGCTCATATCAACATTTGCAATTTGAGTTCGACGATGTTCCGCTGTTGATTGAAAGCAGCTTCATCAGGCGATTTGCCAGGATTGTGTGGAGTGCTCTTCCTGCTTTGGGCCTTGTAAAGGCTTGCAACGACTGCGGATCCGTGAAAGAGTGACGATGCCGTTTGCAGGTGCGTCTGTTCGTCTACAACGACCTGCTGCTGCTGGCTCAGAGAAACGATAGAGATGAGTTCCTGGTTTTGAGAAACCCCGTGTTCCTGAGCTCCGCTTGGCTGCCCGACCCCGGACATGGTGAGTGCCCACACAATGTCTTATTTGGAATAAGGTGCTTTGCAAAAATGATCAAATCTGCTCGTAAGATGATAGTGGTTGAAATAAAGAGTTTGGTGATTAAACGTGGTGGTGGTAGTGGTGTAGTTATGGTGACATTTCAGAGAACAGGCGGGAGAGGTTAAGGAGGGGTAGTGATAGGGGTTTGGGTAGTTATAGGGGTAGTGATAGGGGTTGGGGTAGTGATAGGGTTTTGGGAAAGTGATAGGGTTTAGAGTAGAGATAAGAGTTTGGGAAGCGATAGGGTTTGGGATAGTGATAGGGTTTGGGGTAGTGATAGGAGTTTTGGTAGTGATAGGGTTTGGGGGAGTGATAGGGGTTGTGGTAGTGATAGGGTTTGGGATAGTGATAGGGTTTGGGATAGTGATAGGGTTTGGTGGAGTTATAGGGGTTATGGTAGTGACAGGGGTAGTGATAGGGGTTGGGGTAGTGATAGGAGTTTTGGTAGTGATAATGTTTGGGGGAGTGATAGGGGTAGTGATAGGGGTCGTTGTAGTGATAGGGTTTGGGGGATTGATAGGGCTTGGGGTAGTGATAATAGTTTGGGTAGTGATAGAAGTTTTCGTAGTGATAGGGTTTGGGGGAGTGATAGGGGTTGGGGTAGTGATTTGATTTTGGGGAGTGATAGGGGTTGTGGTAGTGATAATAGTTTGGGTAGTGATAGGGGTAGTGATAGGGGTTGGGGTAGTGATAGGAGTTTTGGTAGTGATAGGGTTTGGGGGAGTGATATTGGTGGTATACCTGCTCATAGCTGGGGGCCAGAGAGTAGCAATAGGATAGGCCAGGGAGAAGTGATGGGTTTTAAATGCTGGACTCCGCAAACAGCGCTTGTCGGCTGGTGGCAGCACTCGTAAACATTTGTCTACACTGCCGGATGCACGGTGAGGTAAGGTCCCACTTTTAGTGGAGTCCCATAATTGACATGATGAGACAATGGCCAAACCAGCTGTTATATTGGTTGTGATCTTACTTTTATATTTTATAACAAAAATCACGAAGACTCCCTTTCAGGTGGGTTCTATATATAGTGAGCAATCACTAAGTTGCGTGTGATGGGGTAGATCTTGGAAGTCCCAACACATCCAAGAGGTCTGGTCAATATGGTGCACGAGGCCCAATTTACTTTTTAGAAGGTGCGCTCTAGAACTCCGGCTAGTAGAAGCCCTTTCTGCCAGCAGTGACGTGAGTAAGCAATTGCTGGGCTAAACCTTGCCTTAGCTAAACTATACGCTTCGCTAATGAATGAATGTTTGGCTTCGTGTGATTTTGGCCTAAACACTGCCCTGCTATACAGGCAAAGTGCTCCGAGGAATGATGTTTGTCAGCCCAACAGTTTTTGTTTGACAATCTTCACTCTACTAATGAGACCCAAAAGGTCAAAGCCGGTCCAGAGTTTGCTTGCTGCCGAGTAACTTGTTTTAGAGAAGCAGAAGGTCAATGGACTCACGCACTAAAAATGTTTTCTTTTTTTACGTGAAAGATATAAACAGAAGTATGCTTATTTATTTATTTGGTATTGTAGGCTAAGCAACGTGGAAGTTTGGCAGAGAATGCATTAAGAGAGCAATTTAGACATAATCAGGAAGAGGATTTGTAGTGGGTCAGACGTATGACTGGGTCAACCACACATTACGTGCGCGCCTGTAGTCCAGCACTGTGGAAGCAGCGAGGCTTGGTTAATCGCACAGCCGTCCTGAAACTCCCTTTCCCGTGGGCGTCGAGGTGCCATTCTCCTGGCTTGCCAGGCGAATCCGGTCCAGCAAATATGTGAACTCCACCTGTTTCATTTGTATGGGATAGAGTGTTGCCTCCCTCACTTGCATAGGATTTGTCCGGGCATTCCGGTTTCCTCCCAGGTGTATACACTCATCAATAGGCTGATAGCACCTTCATACAGAGAGGACCCCAGAGTTCAGGAAATTGTTGCTGCTGGCTCACCCACATGTCTGTGGTTCCTCCTAGCACTGCCAAAGGTGTCGTCTCCCTTCTAGAGTGAATAACGCACGTTACAAAATTCTATTCTAAGTGTTTACTTGATGGAGGGGGAGGCAAGTTACTGAGACAGGGTTTGGCATGACACTCAGAGGTCAGAGACCGATGTAAAAATAAATAAGCCAGATGGTGAGATTTTGCAAGAAGAGACCTTAGGGGCTGGGTGTCGACTACAAAAGCCATCTCAATGGCAATGGCATTCTAATTACATTGTCTTTTGTACTATGTACGTGTGTATGTTGAAGTTATTTTGCACCGTGCGTAACCAACCGTGCTATTTGGAGGTGCGGCGGGGAGGACAGCAAACTAAACACAAAAAGCAGTTCGAAAGAAATTAGTTTTCAATCTGGATTAATAGGTGTGTAGCTCCAGCGGGCTTCCTAATATCGGAAGGAAGAGCATTCCAGACGGCCGCAGAAGCGCATTTGCTAGCGCGCGATGCAATGAACGTAATGGTTAAGGAGACATCTGTGGAGGGTAACGATTCCCAAACCACTGTTTTGCCAAGGTACAAAACCTCCTTGTTTTACTTTGCTTACAATATTGGTACACTGCCAATTGCAACGCAAGTTAGTTCATCATCATTATCACCATCATCATTTATTACTTGAGTTGTTATAAACGAATCCCAAAGCGCTCATGGAATGAGGCACAATTTTGAAGAGAGCAACTGCACGTGGTCGCATCCTCAGCTTCCATATTTCATTGTTAGTTAGCCCACCCACCCTGGTCATCCCGTGTATTTTTACACGCGTCTTTTTTCCTGCGTGACCAACAGGATACTCTAATGCTCTTGCAGCGGTTGCAGGAAGTGTGCTGAATTGAACTGATAAACATTTCGCCCTCTTTTTATTAAGTTAAAAGCGGAAGGCCACCGATGTAGGAAGTGGGGATTGTGGGATTTTTTTTCCTGATCTATTTAAATTTGTGAACATCAAATACAATAAATGTCATTCCCTCGGTTATTCCCCTCCCCTCCCCTCTGCTCTATTATCTACATCAAATATTATCTTTCTTCTCTATGCCGCATTGCACGCGTGCCAACTCATTGAAGTCGGGAACACCGTAAACAAATCATACTTGACGTCTCGAACACGCGCGCGGTGACATCGACGAAGACTGGGACGGAAGTATTGATGCGGAATATTTGCATCAACGTGCGACAAATGTGATGGCTTCGCTACGTTCGCTTTGACGTCTGACTGCTTTGCCAACGGGGATGTCCCGGCAATGGCTCGCACCCTGCCTGCCACAATACCGGGGGGGGGAGGGAATGTTTTTCATTCTGAAATTAGACTGTACACAAGCTTTGTGTGCATATTAATAGAGCTTTCCTGCATGGTGACCTTGACATCAACAAGGCTCAATGGCACTATGTATTAACAGTTTAATACCCCTTCTAATTTGGGCAGACGTTTTGATTAAGCTCCTACGCTAATTAATTGTTGTAATCAGTCAACAGCACCTGGCCAGGTGGCACTGTGGCAGTGCAGGTCACTCTCAACCAGAAGGTTCATATTCTGATCATCTGTCTGCTCAGTAAAATGAGCACCACTTTGGTGCTTTTTCTCATCCATAGGAATATGGAATTTCCAACACGCGCTCAGAATTTCGGGGCAAATGAACACTGGAGTGCTCATATGACCATGGGGATATACTTTGACTTTAAGTGAAGAACAGGGCACTCATGAGACACGGGACGCTGTCATGGTATAATGGTTAGCTTCACTGGCCTTGCAACCTAGAGGTCGTCAGGGTTCAATATCCCCATCATGGGAGTTGAAATAATTGCAAGAAAACTTAAATGGATGCACCGCTCTTAGTCGATCGGCAAGTCGTGTGTGGTGGGGTGAAGTGTGCATACTCCGACAACTTAAAAGATGTCAGACCAGCAAGAAGGGTTGGACAGAATTCCCTATAAAGGTTTTTTTTGTACAGATCCCCTTTAGTGGAGGCCCTTTTCCCCAGCAGTGGCATGAGCAAGCAAGTGCAGGGTTGAACACAAGACAGTAACAGTATCTAAGACCCTAACACGTTCTGACGAATGGGTGAGCATTCATTCTCCCCTGCAGCATCTATGATCTTGAGATGTAGTTACTTTGAGGTGCCTTATGAATCCGAAAGTTATTATTAATCGAAATGGTCTCATCAATTTTTGCTTGCAATTGAAAATAACCACTTACAGCCCTTTGTCAATCTGATGATAAGGTGGAGACGTTCCCATGCCGTGTAAATCATGGGGTTGTACGTTTGACCATACTTCACCATTCTGCTCAGTTTGGGTTGGTTAAGGTGGGGCACGAGACCTGTTCGGATATTGCTTGCTGCTGACGTTAGCCACGGCCGTAAATCAAACTCAGGCCGTGAGTTTCGTATCGCAATGCGCTCACCACTGCGGCATCGGTTCTTCCCTATTTTATTACGATTAGCGATCCGCACCGATGAGCACGGTTGGCTATGTGTGGTGCGAAAGAAGTTCAACATACATACACAGAGCCTACAATGCAATATGAATGCAATCCAATAATACAATGGTGACAGGCACTGGGAGTGGACACACATTTCAGTGACCAAGGGGGTGACCTAAAGCCAGACAGCGGGATATCGTAAAAGCACTCTCTGAAAGTGGGATGCCGACTTTGCAACAACTATAGGATCTAGCGAGCGGAAGGAAGGAGGTGATGGTGAGGTACAGTGGCATCAACGGCATTGGCCGTGGTGACCTCTTGACCTTGATTGTAGCTGAGTTCCTTTTATTGTCTTCCTGTCCCAGCCCCTCTATGGAGGGTGCTGGGTCCATGGACTTCTCTGACAGCAGCAGCAGCAGCAGTCCTCCGCTGTTGGCGATCATCGTCTTATCCCCCACCTGCTGCTTTATGTTGCCGGTCGCCCTCTGCCTCTGTTACCTTCCACTAACATTGCCATTGCTTTTGCAGAATTCTTGTTTGATCCGTTATAATGAATCTGTCCGAGCCGACTTTCAATCAAAGATTTTTTTTTTCATGTTTGTGCGTTGTCTTTAAACCCTTCCGTAACACGGTTGCTTTTGCTCTGATTTCTATTTGTGTCAATTGTCATTTTGGTGAGCCATGTCACGCTGGCATATTAGACTATCCTGGTCTCTTGAGGTCTCACTACCTGGTTAAACAAAACAAACTTAGACCGTACCATAGCAGCGGGCATTCCTTGATTCTTTCAACTATCGTTCATTCCATTTTCAAGTTTATTATGATGTCTAAATGTATTATTCTATTTAACCTTCCTACTCCAAAGTGTTTGAAATAGTTCCATTGGAATTGGGATGAGTAATTCTTTCGAATTTTGTAAAAGACATATTTTAAGTTCATGCTTGAATAGAGAGAGAGAGAGAGCAAATGAATCAGAGGTGTGGGAAACCAGAGCCAAGTGGGACGTCAGCCAGAACCGGCTCCAACAATTGCACACATTTTGTGGTCCTATATTGGGTTGTTTGGCCAACTAATAGGACAAAGGCATCTTGCCATATTAGCCCCTCCCACCATCAGCTCCATCTGTGGTGAGATGTTAACTGCCTTGTCCAGTATACAGGAGGTCGTGGGCTCGATCCTGACCCCGACTCCTGTATATTTAGATTTAGCATGTCTCTCTCCCTCTCTCCAGGTCCTCTGGTTTTTTACTGCACATTTAGAATCAACATGCGACTCGAGTATTTGCTGCTATCAATTTCCACGCCATAAACCACTTAATTGAGCTATCATTTGTGGCCAGGTCGCTTCCGAAAAAGACCGATATATCTCAGTGGGCTTACCTGGTCAAATACATTTTTAAAACATACAGTTGCACTGTGAGCCCACAGCGACTGACCAAACGAGTAATGAGATCAGAGACCCTTGAACTCAGAGCAGATGCGGAATCACTTAGTGCATCTGCACAGACGGAGACATCGGGCATGAGAATGTGGTGCATGCGAAACGTTGATTCACTCTGCACACTTCCACACATCGTGCCGAATGATCATGATCGGTGGTTGTTAAGAGCACCGTTTGTAAATGTGTTTTATTCTCTTGTTTTGCAGAAACATTGGATGACTGCACTATTCCCATCAGTTACAAATCTGAGGTAAAACACGGTTTGTTATTGTTATATTTGCTTTACGATCGTCTAGTTGTTGTGATTCACACTAATTATGTTGTTAACATTTATGGGCAGTAGTTCATATTTAATCACCTCCAAAACAACACTGCAAATACGACAGATGCATTACTTCCGAATGAAAAATAGAATTTCCAACGCACAACAAATACATGTAATAATGTGCTCACAATTCGCTCACAACTGTGTTGTGATTGTTGCTGCATTTAATCGGACTCAAGAAAAAAATGCTTATATGGCAATGCTAATGATGCATCACCATTTGGGTATTTTTAAAACCGTAATGGCTTTACAAGTGAACAATACCACATGGAAACATCTTCCAAGCTATTTCTACCGTTATTGTTCGCACGTTGCGCACAATTAGCATTCATGAGCATTTCAAAACACACATTTCTACGTTCCGCGCGTTGGCAAGCTTTAATATTTCATTCGGATCATGGGATTGTCATTAAAGCAATGCTTTAATTGTTAATGCGCGTGAATTTCGAGGGCCATTGTTGTGACCTTGTGTAGCCAGATTAGAATTGCAACACCAAATTAAGTCTCTGGCAGATGCCTGACTACGATGGCTCCGACAGACAGCCGGGGTGGTGTGCTACACCTTGAAGTAAAGTGGGTAACCGGTGGTTACACCATTGGAACCTCATTTGCCAGTAAAAAATATGATAATTGTTTTTTTACCCTTCTATCTGGCAACAAAACTCATATCTTTTTTACAAGGAGTCATGTTTGCATAGACCACAATACCTGCAGCCATAATGCAAACAAAAAACATATCTCTGATAATATATGCAATGTCCTTGAAGCTGAGCAACACATTTCAGGGCTGAACCTTTACCAAATTAAGTGCAAATAACACATGCATGGATGAAAGTACGCAGGCTAATGACGTCATTCAAACTGTTCATAAAAGTAAATGAGCTTGGGCAGGAAATGCCTCTAGAAGGGATAGCCCATTATTGAGACTAATGACAGAGTAGATGAAGTGATGAGATTAGATCGTGTGCCTTAGCGAAATTGCTTGTGGCATCACAGAACTGTGAGAGATGGCAAAAGCTTGGGGTAACCTTTATCGAGCATTGGCTGATGCATGTGTGCGGAGTGGTTGTCGTGTAGTGGTTAGTGCGCTGCGCTACGAACCCGGCGACCCGGGTTCGATTCACGCTCACGGCGAACACCAGTGACGATTATCTGAACCGGTCCTAGGCCTCCTCTAGGTCGACTCAGCTTCAAATGAGTACCCGGTGCGGTGTGTAAACATCGCCACTGGGAAGACAAAGGCGGCCGGGCGTAGTGCTGGCCGCCTTCATAGATGTTCATCTTTGCTGTGTGTCACAACCTGGCTGGGTAGCAACACGGTCGCAAAGTACCCTTTAATACATCAAAACTATTTGTCAGTTTGGCCTTGCTAAGCATCGTGCCGTGGAAGCTGCAGCCTCTTTACCCTTCATCGAGCACTGTCCCGTGCAGCCATCGGCCGCCCTCTCTGGGCACGGGGCTGAGTCTGGCGGGGCTCCGTGTAAACACCGCGGAGGGGTCGTGGGGCCAGAACAAGCTGATGGTGATCGATGTCTACGTAGAACAAGCGGCACGGCTAAAACACGAAAAGGGGATTTAAAAAAACAAGATCAGAGAGAGAGAGGCTATTTTTAACAGTGTCTTGGTCTTAAAATAGAAATAAATAAATCGAAATTCTTGCCATCTGTCTCGTGTTCAGTGAAATTGAGCTCGCTTGATGAAGGGCTGGCATTGGTGAGGCTTGTACCGAAGCCAGCAGGGGTAATCATTCTGCGGTTTGTGTAGCAAATATTGCATCTTTCCTCTTCATTAACGATTCGTAGTCAACGGAAAACTGAATTATTGCTCAAATGACCTTGAGGTGGTGCTCATCTCCATTTGGTAGCCTTGAGCCAGCGGAGGAAATTCCACGTTCCAATGGCAGGGCGAGTCCATCCTAGGACAACCACCAGTGACTTTTTTTTTATCTGGCAAACGTGATGCGTGCCATTTCAGGGCGTGATAATTTGCACGGCATCAGTGTCCTAGAAGATTGTGCAAATGTTTCAAAAACGTCCATTGATCTTGTCGCGAGATTGTTTTGGGGGCGCTTGAGTATTGTTTTCATTGCTCTATTGAACATGACAAAAGTTAAGCCGCGTTGGAAAACAAGAAAAAAATCAGCAAAGCATACAGACACAACAACAACTGGGCACACATTTCTATGCTTGAGCATATGTTTGTTTTGATCTGTTATGATAAAGGTGTCTTCCTTGCCCAAACAAACATCATATAAGGTTTCAAAAAAAGCACCCAATGGAATACAATTCGGATTTTTAAGCGTCTAAGTGTAGCCACATCTCAGACCTCTGTGTAAACTAGTAGGAGGTTTATCACAACGAAAAAGGGGGTTTCTATATAATGTACAATGTTAATAACTTACGACTTTTTGTCACTCTACTTCAAGTGATTGAAGTGTCAGTCATGGGGATTGTTTGGCAGTGCAGTGCTTGACAATCCTGATCGGTGCCGGTTGGGTGAATGAGGGTCCTCCAGTTTGTCCATCCACATTTAGAATCAACGCGCGTTTAGAGTATTTGGCTGCTATACATTTCCACGTACTAAGCCTTTTTTTGTTGTGGCTTCTGAAGAAGAGCTAAACAGCTCAGTGTGCCTTACCTGGGAATCTTTATTTTATATTTTGTTTACTTTGGACACGAGCAAAAAGGATAACACTTTGAATCACGATTTAAAGCTTTCATGACTGCAGGGATTCATCTTCTTGGTTCTTTCGGTAAAATCAGGTAGAATGCAAATAATAAAATAATAAAAATAAAACATAATAAAATAATTCTCACGACGTTTCGGCCACAACGCAAGCAGAGGACAGCTGCTTGCGTTGTGGCCGAAACGTCGTGAAAATTATTTTATTATGTTTTATTTTTATTATTTTATTATTTCCATTCTATGTGACTTTACCGAAAGAACCAAGAAGACTTTGAATCACATTGAATGCTCAGAAACTAACCCCCCCCTACCCCCGCTTCGTGGGGTTTCAGTGGTTGTGCGGGACAGCCCTCCGATGTGATCTCGGGGTTGTTATCGCGTGTTGTTCGGCCGGGAGCTTCTTCAGGAAGCGAAGAAGAACCTTCGAAGGGAAACGTCGGACTTCATGCCAAAACGACACGCGGCACATCCCGAAATCACGTCGGAGAGCTTCTGTGAAACCGCTCTACTTTTTGTATTTGCAGGTTCTGGTGACTGTTGTTATTGAACACACAAAGATTGCCGTGGGCGATTGACTCGCGTATATTCCGATAATGGTCTAAGGCAAGCTACACGGCTGGAATGTGGCACAAATATAATGAAGTCCTTATAATTCCAAAAAAAAATTTGGGTGGAAATGTTCCGTGCTTCTAAATTTTTAAAAGTTAGCATATTGAGTTTGATGCTTAAGCTCATAGAAAGCAGGCAAAGCCCACCATTAATATGTATTCATATTCAACCTATCCAGTCATATAACACCACCAAGAGCATGTATAGCATTGTCTAAAGTCTATGCATTAAAATCCTCGCTTAGCGGTCAATGCAGCTCATCACCCCTGGTAGGTCTCCAAACAAAAATAATTTCGCACCACGCGAATCAGAGGTCACAAACGGGTTTTGATTCCTTACCCATACCCGGCCGCACCAGGGTCGCAAACGGGTACCCGTACTCGTACCCGGCCGTACCCGTACCCTACCCGTACCCGGCCGGGTATGGATAGGGTACGGGTATCGAGTACCTGATTGCGACCTCTGGGATGAAGCCATGTTGCAGGCGCGGGTGGGTTGATTCTAGGAACTTGAATTGTGAGAAGAGACAAGACGTTGGGAAATGAGTGACAAACAGTTACTCACCAGTGACTCACGTCTACCCGTACCCGTACCCGGCCGCACCAGGGTCGCAAACGGGTACCCGTACCCAGCCGGGTACCGGTAGCCGAGTTTCGGGTAGGGTACGGGTATCGGGTATCCGGTTGCGACCTCTGACGCGAATGCAACAACGGTTGCACCTACAAGGAAGGCTTTAAACCCTGCCGTCGAAATGTGGAGCCTCCTCCGCTGATGCAGAGGAGCCCACCCAATTCGGGACGGCTCGCCATGCTCCACGTTCAGGGCATGTCGGGCAAACGTCGGGGCTTGGCACGTTCGTGGAGTGGGTTTCGCCAGGCGCGGGGCGGACCAACGTGTTGGCCGTAACGCAGAGAGGGAGAGAGCTCACGGCTCGGAGCGCACGTCTGAGGACTCGGAGGGCTCTGGGCGGAGGGCTGACTCGCTTTCATAATGTGCTCGCTTGGTGTTGCGTGTAATTAGATTAGCCAGCAAGGAGCTGGAGAGAGATCTGTGGGTTATTGCCGCTCGTGAACTATTATTTTCCGCCGAGCATTGTGGATCCGAGGTCATTAAAACGAACATTACGTTATTTTTATCTTAATTATTCCAAAAGGAAACGATGCTTTAGGATAATAATACATTTTTTGATGATGCTTGCAATCACTTTGCAATATCCTTGGATTTAGTTTTTTTACATAACAATTAACGTCCCCTTTGTAAAAAGGAATTAAAATATTCCACAACACCCCCCATTCCCCCACCCAATTTCCCTCTCCTTCTCTCCCCCCATATATGAAGCCAACAGACACTGTACAGAAACAGGATCTATTGAATGATGTCTCAGTCGACGTGTGTATCGCAAAGAACTGAGATACGCACATTGCTGTGCCGTTTACAAAGCTTTCGTATCTTCTTGTCATTTTAATATCGAAAGGAGGAAAAACGGACGGATTGAACTCCCCCCCCCCCCTCCCCCAAGAGTTTTGTGAACAGAGGGCATAACAGCGATGGACGCTTATTTGTGGGCGATGGTCTGTTGCCGTTTCAGGGAGAAGAATCTGAATTGGTCCTGGAGGCGATGAATGTGGAAAGCAAAGCGAAGCTGTGTCACCTCCTGCGTGGGATTTCTGAACGAACGCGGAAGCAGCAGCAGCAGCATCAGCACATTCTCCACCTGCAGAGCAGTCCAGCGACTCCGCTGTCCTCACAGGTACCCTCACATTTTCCAAACGTGCAGGATCTCACGAACAACTGTCTGCCTGTGCTATGTTTCCGCCGAACTGTGTGTTATGGTGGGGAATCTTTCTTGAGACTGCAGGAGGAATACGATGAGCTATGAAGCTCTTTTTTAAAGATGTCCAGTATGGGCGGGTCGGCAAGTTCATTTGTTGAGACGTGCCTACGCCCCTCAAGTCAGCTGTTGCGTCACGTGATAATCGTCACGGAAAAAAAAAATGTTTTTCTTAAATCCAGAACTCCAAGGTGGAGGAGGAGGGCTTGAGAAATGTTTATATTTTGATTTAAAGCTTTCGTGACTGCAGGGAACCAAGAATATAAATGTTTCTATATTTATTTACTTTTACACGGGAAATGTATCGGTTGCGTTGCATCAGTAGCCACGGATGTTAGGAAAACTCCTCTGTCTCCTGTGGATGGCGAGGTGCCATTCCCTGGTTTTTGCCAGGAGGATGCGGTACTACAAACGTGGACGCCACCTGTTCCATCTGTATGGGGTATAGCAGAGGTGTGGACTCGAGTCATGTGACTTGGACTCGAGTCAGACTCGAGTCATGAATTTGATGACTTCAGACTCGACTTGGACTTGCATAACAATGACTTTGTCCCACCTCTGGGGTATAGCGTTACCCACCTCGCACACGTGGATTTTCCCTGGGTGCTGCGGTTTCCAGCCGCATGTAAACACTCGTTAAGTGGTCGATAACAACTTCATATGTAGAGGACCACAGAGCTTTGGGGGTCGTTTGGCTCCAGCTGATCACCTTGCTGCCTTTTTTCCGCTGTCTGTGGTTCCCCCGCGTGCCTCTGAGGCATTCTCTGTCGTCCATAGTGAGCGAATGCTGTGCTGTGTGTTTTCAGTGGAAATTATAATTATTCTCATCACAGGCATAGTGTCCATAATCAACGTGGTTTTTTCTGCTCTACAAAAGCGGCACGCTCGTTTTTATTCTCGCACCCCCCCTCCCCCTCGAGCCACATGTGGAAATCCTGCGTGTCCATGATGGGGGCTGGTTTCTCCATATGTGTCCACTGTTGATTTTTCACGGAGTTGCACTTATTTCATTAGCCCCGGAGATATGATGAGCTAAGGCAACCAAAGACCCCGATTTGAACTCGCAGGCCTCCAATTGCGAGCAGTATTTTTTACCAGCGCGTCCACCCAGGCACACATTGCACACGAGTACGTATGACAATTACCGAGGGCCATGTTTTACGTGAGTGTTGTTGTTGTTTTACGTGGTCACCCCTCGGAGCTGAAATGGGAATGTGTTTGGGTACACAAACGGGACTTGGCAATGAAGAGTGTCCATGCAAACGTCCTCTCCTGCGTTTGACCGGCAGAGATGACCTCAAGGCTTGCACACGGATCTGTAAAATCTGAATGAGCACATTCCCGGCACCTGTTTGGTCCGCACTTGCTGGGAGGAACATACAACCTGGACTGGGCAGTGTTATGTCGGCATCTGGAGGGGATGGAATGGATTCAAAGGTTGACGCAATGTTGACTGTTCACACCACTGTACATACACGAAGCTTTGGAAATAGCTTGGGGTGCGAAAGCTTCCGTCAAAACTGTAAACAATTATGCTTACATCTGACGTTTGTTTGCTGACAAAAAGTAATTATAATAGGTATGTATGTTTAGCTTCTTTCGCAAGTAGCCAACTGTGCTAGTCGGAGGTGCGGGCGATGGGCAACAAACGAAACACAAAAAGCCATTCTCAAGAAATGAAAATGCAAAGTCCCTGCTCAATCTCGCAGTGCTATAGGATTCATCTCTGTCGGCATCCCTGAGCCCGTAGTGGAAACTGCTTGTTCGCATGCTAGGGCCCTGTCTCGATCAGATGACCGCCGTTGAATTTCTGCAAGTTTTTTTTTATTGGAGTGCTTTGACGGCAATCTATCTCCAGCTCGATCTCTCATTGTATTTTGAGCCTCTTTCGCACCGTACGTCGCCAACAGTGCTAATCAGAGGTGCGGGAAACGTTACGTCTAAGTTACAAGCTCCATAAACAATCTGCCGGTCCAATCCTTCGGGTCAATAAATCCATTTGTTTTTCTCTCTTCCTCTCGTTGTTTTCCCCAACCTATTGTTCACGTGAAGATAAGAGCGCCTTTGCCTTCTGATATCACTGCGTGATTGAAGACACTTACTCTCAAATTTGTATCGGTCTCTGAAGCATCTGTCTTGGCCGCTCCGGGCCTTACTTGGTCGCTTGGTACTTGTACCTTTTTGCCTCCTATTCCACTACGTAGAAGTCTTTTTATTGACTTCGGAGGGATGGAATATGGGTTTAATAAATTCCCTGAGTGGAATATGAACTCGAAACCTCGCAGTTGACCTCGAATTTGAACATTTTAGGTAATAACAGCGCCAATGGGTTACAATGGATTAGCAATGCTAGGCTTACATTGAGTTAGTGAAAAGTAAATACCGTTCATATTTCACCACTGTGTCACGTTTTAGCAGTACAGTTTACAGACGAGGTTACAAAAATAGCACGTGCACATCTGTCCCTTGCTGCGCATCAGTGTTGATAGTGCCCGGGGTTAGATTGGTAACATGATAATACACAATAACAAACAGCCAGATAGGCTTTTACATTCTAGCGTATGGAAACAGCACCTAAATAAACACTGAGACAAACAAATATAATCTCACTATAAACATTTCCAAACATGGATATTTGACGTGGGGTTTTCCATCAAAGATGTAGAGGACTGCTTGTTCTTTTATTATTAAAAAATATATATTTTTTACTTCTTGCCTGCCGCCAGGAATGGAACCACTGAGGTCGCTTGTGTTTGCAAGTGTGTGTGTGTGTTTGTGTGGTGAAGGCGGTGGCACAGCAGTTAGCCGACTTGCCCTACGAAACCGACGACCCGAGTTTGATTCCAGCCCATGGCCAACACCATGTGACGATTATCTGAACCAGTCCCTGGTCCTCCCCTAGGTCGACCCAGCCTCAAATGAGTACTGTCCTTGGTGTGGTGTGTAAACATCGCCACTGGGGAGACAAAGATGGCCGGGTGCGCTGCTGGCCACCCACCCCCTCGTGAGCCGTGCCTTCGTCCATATTTGCTCGCTAACAGCACTTGTCCCAAACGTCAGCTAAAGCTATACTGGGGACCTTTGTCTTTTGTTTATTTCTACACCCGTGTGGCAATAGTGCTTAGGGCATTGTGCTTTGAACCCAATGTCTTTCCGCGTTCAGTACACAATACGAGCGCGAGTTCGCATCTAAATCTGGCCTCAAAAGCCACTGAGTCACCTCGGCACAAAATAACCAGTCTAATGTAGTGCATCTTTGGAATTAAAAGTTAGAGACAGGAAGAGAAATCGGTTGATTAGTGACATCATTCAAACTGTTAAAGTATGAAAATGGGCTTGGGCAGGAACACGTCGCGAGGAGGGATGGTGTCACGTGGTGAAGATTGATAACGATGGCAGCGACGGAACGGAACACGCCCGACAGCACGAGCATCGGGAGGTGGATCGTGAGAGTTGGTAGATGGCTTGGGGAGGCTTTCATCCAGCAGTGGATTAACCGTGGTCGATGATGTTACACCGCACTAGCGTCAGCACTGGACAAAGTTAAAGCACGGAGGCGAGGCTGGACGATTGCACGCCTTGCCAAGCTTAGCAGGCGCGTGCTAAAAAAAACACAGCGTTACTTTTAGTGGCACAAAGTTTCTGGATGGAGGAGGGCGCAAGGCTATTGAGCAGGAAATTGGAGTAGTGCACAGGGCCCAGAAACCAAACGGATGACTTCAAGCCTGTGTGGGATCGTGTTAAGGGTAGACCTTGAATGTGAGCTGCTACCTTTGCACCAGCAGTGAGATCAAGCGATAGTGAGGTGTGTGGAGGCATAAAGAAATGGCCATTACGACGACCCCTTGACTTTGTTTAACTACCTTACCCAATGGTCATATCAAGCTGATGTTTGTCTTTCCTTATCTTTTTATGAGTGCGTGAGAGCCGTTCTTAACTTTACCAACCCCTGTAATGTATTCCTCATTTCGCTACCCGTTGCCCGCTTTAAAGTGTAACTTTGAGACCTCCGCATCAAAATATGTTGTTTTGTATAAATGTTACGTATTGTTTCGGAGCATTATGGGAAATTAGATAAATATACAGACTTGCATTTATCTCTCCACATTAATATTCTACAGTCCATCAGCCCTCACACTTTTCAGATCAGGTTAGCATGATTTCTGAATTTCTTAAATTACTATTTACATTACATTTGGTGAAACAAACTCTCGTCTTTTCCACATTTAGAGTCTCACCAGCAGTCAGGCCTACTCGCCAACTGCCGCTGTGTCGTCAGGCAATAATTCTAGATTTGAAGCTTTCGTGACTGCAAGGGTTCATACTCTTTGGTTTTTTCGGTAAAGTCACGTAGGCAAAAAATAAAATAAATTTTAACAACTACATTAAATCACGACGTTTCGGAGGCAACACAAGCTTCCATCTTCAGGTGGAACCGTCACAGCCAAAGCAACTTTGGAACCGTTACAGCCAAAGTGACTTTGACTGTAACGGTTCCACCTGAAGACGGAAGCTTGTGTTGCCTCCGAAACGTCGTGATTTAATTGAGTTGTTTTCATTCATTTTATTTTTTACCTATGTGACTTTACAGAAAAAAATAAAGAGTAGTCAGGCATTTTCTTGGTTCTTTCGGTAAAGTCACGTAGAAGGGAAATAATAAAATAAATAAAATAAAACATCTTTGTATTTTATTGTTTTATTTTTATTATTTTATTATTTCCATTCTACGTGACTTTATTGACAGAACCAAGAAAATGAATCCCTGCAGTCACGAAAGCTTTAAATCGAAATTTAGTCAGGCATTATTTAGCAAGGGCATTTCATAAGCAAATTGGGGCCCTAGTCAATTCAAAATGCAATAATGCATTTAAATAAAAACTCACAATGGTTTGTTGTGAAGCTTTATGGCTAATGATATA